TTAAGCGGCTCACATGACACCGCAGGGCAAAAACTTGTCATCGGTTGCCGAGCTACATAGCTTGAGGTGAAACATAGTGAAGATAGTTGGGTTGCTAATGGCACTGGCTCTGGCTCAGCTCTGTATCTCTGTCTCTTTCTGTGCCGTCTTATTTGTTTGTCATTTAAATAAGCATAATTCTAGTTGCAGAAAAACACATTTAAGTACTTTATATGGACTTCAATCGTATGCACTCAACATATCATATGCATATTCATAGAAACTAACCGCAACAGTCTGACATTATTATACATGTATGTTAGTTTCTTTGTTTGCTTATTTGTCTGTTTGTTTGTCTCTTACAGGTGCGTACCTACATACATATGTGAGGGCTTTGCAGCAGCCATGGGAATTCGCCTCAGCCTCTCTCTTAACCGCCTAAGTGGCTTTAACATTTGCATAGAGACGATGGCAGATGTTGAAACTGGTTTGTATGTTGCACACGCACACACATAAACATATATCTATCCACAAAAGCACACACACACACATACACATGCCTTTATTTATATAGGTATATCTGTTCATTTGTGTGCATGAGGCTGGCACTTGAGCGTCTTAAGTTCTTCTTTAAGTGGCAACTTTTTCTCAATAGCCGCAAGTGGTGTTGCAAGTGGTTTTCAAAGCGCTTTGGGCCAGACACAGGTGCACCATAGACTCCAGCTATGTGCGGCCTTTGAGTGGTGTGATAAAGAAAATGCATTTAGGGCTGCAAACGAGTTCAACACGCACACATACACACACCCACATACGCACACCTGACCTCATTGCTTTAAGAACTTGTGTGTCAGTCGTGTATGTAGAGCGGAAATGTGTGTGCTCATAAAGTTTACCGTCGACCAAAGATCACAGAAATAATTGGCAGTGGCTTGTGTCGGTGGTTGAATCATATCAGATAGCTGATTTTTGGTGTTGATAATGAAGTGATGAAACTTTAGGGGAAATTTTCTAAAGACTTGTTATAGCAAATAAATATTTAAGCATTTTCACATGTGAATAGAATCGTAGAAACAGAGTTATACATTAAAAATAAATATAAAATATTTTTCCCTAAAATAAGTTAAAATTTTTATATAATTGTTGAATAAAATTTTAATTTTGACGTTTCAATCATGCTATGAATTTGTAATATTTAAAGACAACTTATCACATTCCGCTTCTCCTCTGCTAGCCCTGCTTTAAAAGGCTTGAATGATTCGCTTTGATAAGTGAGGTGTTATTTCGAATTAGCTCATCTGAGTCGTCATTCAGACTGGCGTTATTTTTTTTTTCACTCTCCATCTGTGTGATGTGTGATGATGATAACTCAACTTTATAATACGTATTAACCACTGAGACGAAAATTCGTTTAATTTTTCTGATGAAAGCGAATTTATGAGACCAATGACAATTTTTATTTTAATAATAAGAATATAATATATGCGAATTTATGTTTATTAGAAAACACCAGATTCAGAATGTTTACATACACATATATATATTGAAAGGTAACCGGGACCAACTTATATAACTCATCTATCCATAGCTTATGCATAACATATTTAATATAAAATTTCGGTTATAAAATACTAAAAATCTCGTTATTAAATATGAGTATTTTTTTAAACCCCAAACGATTTATTTTTGCTATAAATTTAATATATAAATTTCCAGATAATTTCTTGTCTGCCTACCGCAAATCTCTGTCGTAATTAACCCACTTAAATGCCAGTAACTTTGCTCGGCAATCATCGCAATGGGCGGTGGCTTCGGTGGGTGTGGCACATGTTCATGTTGTGGCCGCAAGCAAAATCCATTCAAAAAAAGAAAATGTGTAAAACGCAAGCAACGCGCAGAAATTTGCACAATTTTTAATGGCACAGATGTGTGTTGGTATTGTTGTTGTTGTATGTGTGCTTGTGTATGTGTGTGTGTTTGTGTGCGTGTGCTGGTGTGTGCTTGAGCGTGTGAGTCGTAGCGCATGAGGCTTTCGATGAGGGCTTTGCGTGTGCTTCTATATGTGTGCGTGGACTTAACTGACCAACACAAATACACACACACGCACACACACACACACACACATGAGGCATGTAGGAAGCTGCCGCCATGGTAAATGCTTTAAAAAGCCATTTCAGCTTTTTCCGTTCCGTTCGTTTTGTGTGTTTTTTTTTTTTTTTTTTGGGGCATGTCCGTCTTTGATGCGGCCACAAAAAAGGGCGGATTATAAAACACTTAAGCGATTTTAAGCGCAATTATGTTGGCGCGAGCACGTAAACGCATCGTGGCCATTGCAGCGTTTTGGCTCTTTAATATTTGAGCAGTTGCTGCTGTCCGCTGCTGCTCAACTTGCTGCTGCTCATTAGGTTTTCATTTAAAGTTTTTCCCTCCCCCCACCGACAACAGGAGCTGCACAAATTTGTTCTAAATTATTTAAAAAACTAAGTTGGCCGCTAGCTAAAATAAAAATGAAAGGGAGAAAGAAAAAA